CTATCCGTCAATTGACATTTGATACGAGTCTAACGACTCCTTCCAAATTTCTTTCAGAAATGGACCGTGGTGGCAGGATTACTAGGAGAAACCCGACGGGTCGTGTACCAGTGGAGACTGGACAGGGCAGTCGAAGGACCTCTAGGGCATCTAGAGGAGCTGGCCGTGGAGGCCAATCACAGACCGTGAGCGACGGTCATGTCGACACGGAAAGTGAAACCTACTGGTCCTATGAGGACTCGACCTATCGACCGGAAACTGAACCGGTTGAGACCCCTTATGAAGGGGATGATGATGATGTAAGTGATGAGGAGGAAAATGGCTCCTTAGCACGGATTGAAGCACTACTTCAACAGTACCACCGTGAGCGTGAGGAGAGGAGGGAACGCCGAAGGCGCCGGGCTGGGCAACCTTCGGGCGGGGCTTCAAGAGGGAGAAGCCATGGCGACTCTAGGGCCCACATTGAACCACATGGGGGTCGGGGTGATGGAGGTCCAATCATAAGGATCTCCAAATACATCAAAGAGGCACGAGACTTGGGGTGCAAACCGTTCGATGGGACGGGTGACATCTCCGTTTCGGCACAATGGATTAAGCGGCTGAATGAGGCAGCCCTGGACATGCAACTCACCCCCGAATATAAACTAAGGGTTGCGGTGAGATTGCTTGAAGGTATGGCATCCAAGTGGTGGGATGGGACCAAAGGCAAATATGGCGAGACCGTCACTTGGGAGAATTTCCGACAGGAATTCTTTGCCCAATATTACTCGGATTTTGAGGTGAACAAGAAAGTGAGGGAATACACCCTTCTAACCCAAGGGGGTAACATGACGGTGAGGGAACTTGAGTACAAGTTCAGGGATCTTGCCGATTACATACCTGAGTATGCTTGTGACGAGAACCGGATGGTGAACCACTTCTGGGATGCTCTAGACTTGGAGATACGTGACAGGGCAACACAATTGCCTAACATGACGTTTGCCCAAGTGGTTGACCAAGGGTTGAAAGGAGAGAAGCAATGGGAAGAAAGGAAGAAGAGAGACGCCGAGGAGGCGAAAAAGAGAAAGTGGGAGAGTCATGGCTCCCAAGGTTCCAACAAAAAGGGGAACCACGGAGGAGGATCTTTCCGGGCACCACCGCCACCATATGGGGGGAACCAAGGCCCGAGTGGGCAAGGCGCGAGGTCACAAACCTCAGTGGTAGCTCGTTGCAACAATTGCAAGAAGAACCACTCCGGTAAATGTCGCGACCCCCCTAGATGTTTTCAATGCGGGGATGCCGGGCATTTGAAGGCACATTGCCCACAATTGAGTGGGGCAAGGACATCGGGGCCGAGTAGCGGTCCGACGGGTACACGGAATCAAACCGGAGCTTCTCAAGCGAGCCGGGGACATGGGGGAGCGAGTACGAGCAACGCGCCATCCGTGAATCAAGGAAGAACTCAAGCTAGAGTTTATGCGATGACGGGGGCGGATGCTCGAGCTAACCCGGACTCGGTTGCAGGTATTGCCTCTTGCACAATTGTATTTTGTCCATATTTAATCCATAAATTGATGACATAAGTCATAGGGATTGAGTGCGAGCCATTTCGGGGTCAAACGGCGAAATTCGGGCCAAAACTGACCAAAAACAGGGACGCACGATCGTGCGTCCAACCCCACGCACGATCGTGCGTAGGGGACAGTGGTTCCAGGTGAATTTCGCGCAGGACGCACGACCGTGCGTGCCGGTACGCACGCCGTGCGTGGACGCACGATCGTGCGTGGCCGGGTACGCACGATCGTGCGTAACCGGCAGTGGTCGGATTCGACGCTTCTTCACGCACGCACGACCGTGCGTGTCCCACGCACGACCGTGCGTGGACCCCAGCCGCCCGAAACCTAAGTTTTTCCTCTCGTTCTTCTACGATTGGACCCCCGTTTGATTCCGAACATCTATATGAACCTATTAACCTCCAAAAAGTGTCCTAAACCATTAAAAAAGGTGTCTTACATGGTTCATGAATGTAGGGACACTAAAGATTAACGGGAAGGATGCACGAATCCTTATCGATACCGGAGCGCAACGTTCATTCGTGAGTGAGGCGTTTGCCGAGAGCTTAGAGATGCAATCAATACCAATGACACAAACCTTAGTGGTATCAACCCCACTAGGGGAAGACGTTGAAAGAAACAATTACTATCCATCTTGTATGGTGGAAATCGGTGGCCAAACCTTGACGTGTGATTTCGTACCGCTGAGTATGATGGAGTTCGATGCAATCCTAGGGATGGATTGGCTAGAAAAGCATCATGCTAGGGTAGATTGCTACACAAAGGTGTTGGAACTCGAAGGCACGCATGGGGACACCCTACGCTTCGAGGGGGACCGCGGCAAATCAAATAGTTGTATCATATCCGCCGTGAGAGCGAGAAATATGATGAGGAAGGGATGCCACGCATATCTAGCATACGTGGTTGACAAAACCAAAGAGGGAACGAACATCGATGATGTGAGGGTGGTTTGTAAGTATCCGGATGTCTTCCCTAAAGACCTACCGGGGCTTCCACCTGACAGGGAGATTGAATTTGTGATCGAGGTCGAGCCTGGTACCAAACCAATCTCCATACCGCCATACCGGATGGCACCCGCTGAACTTAACGAGTTAAAAACCCAATTGCAAGAGCTTTTGGATAACGGTTTCATTAGACCAAGCCACTCCCCGTGGGGAGCACCGGTTCTTTTTGTGAAAAAGAAAGATGGGACACTTCGAATGTGCATTGACTATCGTCAACTGAACAAGGTCACAATCAAGAATAGGTATCCGTTGCCTAGGATTGATGACTTGTTTGATCAACTACGAGGAGCAACCGTGTTTTCGAAGATTGACTTAAGGTCGGGGTACCATCAATTGAAGATTAAGGAAGATGACATACCAAAGAGTGCTTTCCGCACAAGGTATGGGCATTTTGAGTTCCTTGTTATGTCGTTTGGGTTAACAAACGCCCCGGCGGCATTCATGGACTTGATGAACCGAGTATTTCATAAATACTTGGATCGATTCGTGATTGTGTTCATAGATGACATCTTGATTTACTCAAAGAGTGAAGAAGAGCATGAGGAGCACTTGATACTTGTTCTTGAAACACTACGGGAGAAGCAACTCTATGCCAAATTTTCTAAATGTGAATTTTGGCTAAAGGAGATTGGCTTCCTCGGGCACGTGGTTTCGGGATCGGGGATTGCTGTTGATAACAAGAAGATAGAAGCCATCACTGAATGGGAGAGGCCAAAGAACGTCAAGGAAATTCGTAGTTTCCTTGGATTGGCAGGCTACTATAGAAAGTTCGTGGAAAAGTTCTCTGTTTTGGCATCGCCATTGACGAAGCTCACTCGTAAAGGAGCTAAGTTTGTATGGGATGACAAATGTGAGAAAGGGTTCATGGAACTAAAGAAGAGATTGACTGAGGCACCGGTACTTGCATTACCCAAACAAGGTGTGGGGTACGATGTCTATAGCGATGCGAGCATTCAAGGGCTCGGATGTGTACTGATGCAGAATGGGAGGGTAATCGCCTATGCTTCACGACAATTGAAGAAGCATGAGGTGAATTATCCTACTCATGATTTGGAGCTCGGGGCAGTGGTATTTGCACTGAAGATATGGAGACATTATCTCTACGGGGAGACATGTCACATATACACTGATCACAAGAGCTTGAAGTACGTGTTTACTCAGAAAGAGCTAAACATGAGACAGAGACGGTGGATGGAGCTGATAAAAGACTACCATCTGGTGATAGAGTATCACCCAGGCAAGGCAAACGTGGTGGCAGATGCTTTGAGCCGGAAGAGCTCGTCTGGGGCATTGATAACTAATTTGAGGGCATTAAGAGCCCAACTGGAGGTAACCAGCGATGGTGCCTTATTGGCACGATTTGAGGTGAGACCCACTTTACTTGATGAGATCAAGAAGGGTCAGGAAGCCGACGAAGAACTTATGAAGGTCCGGGAACGCATGCAAGCGGGGCCGGTGGAGGATTTCAGGGAAAGAGATGATGGTCTCTTGTTATTTCGTGACCGAGTGTGTGTACCGTCAGATGATGAGCTCCGAAAGTCCATCTTAGAGGAGGCTCATTCATCGGCTTATGCCATGCACCCGAGGGGCACGAAAATGTACCGTGATTTGAAGGAAAGTTACTGGTGGTCTGGAATGAAGAGGGAAATAGCCGAGTACATCAGTCGGTGCCTTACTTGTCAACAAGTTAAGGCAGAACATCAGCACCCAGCAGGCTTATTGCAACCACTCTCCATCCCTGAATGGAAGTGGGAGCACGTGACTATGGATTTCGTGGTAGGCTTACCACGGACTATCAGGAACTATGATGCGGTTTGGGTCGTTGTGGATAGGCTCACAAAGAGTGCACACTTCTTGCCTATCAACACTACCTACCCACTTGAGAGGTTAGCCAAATTGTATACGGATGAGATCGTGAGGCTGCATGGGGTCCCGGTGACCATTGTATCTGATAGAGACCCACGATTCACATCACGTTTTTGGCCGAAATTCCAGGAGTCTATGGGAACGAAGTTGAAGTTCAGCACTGCTTTCCATCCACAGACGGATGGGCAGTCTGAAAGGGTTATTCAGATCCTAGAAGACATGCTGAGGGCTTGTGCATTGGAGTTCCAGGGAAGTTGGGACAACCACTTAGCACTTGTGGAGTTTGCCTATAACAACAGTTATCAGGCAAGCATCGGCATGCCTCCATACGAGGCATTGTATGGGAGGAGGTGCCGTACACCGTTATGCTGGGACGAGGTTGGCATGGCCAAACTCGAGGGTACTGAGTTGGTTGAGGTCACCAAATCAAAGGTGAAGTTGATTCGAGAGAGACTCAAGGCGGCTCAGGATAGACAAAAGAGTTATGCAGATAAGCGTCGAAGAACCTTAGAGTTTAAGGTTGATGACGAGGTATTCTTGAAAGTTTCTCCTTGGAAAGGGATCATTCGGTTCCAAACCCGAGGAAAACTTAACCCACGATATATAGGTCCATTCAGAATTATAGAGAGGATTGGGGCCGTTGCATATCGTCTACAGTTGACTCCTGAGTTAGAGAAGATACATAATGTGTTTCATGTATCCATGCTTAAGAAGTATGTGCATGATCCCTCTCACGTACTAGAGAAGCCACCTGTAGAGGTACGTGAGGATTTGAACTACGCTGTTCAACCTATCAAGGTCACCGATAGAAAGGTGAAGAAGCTGAGGAGCAAAGAAGTCCCAATGGTTAAAGTCCTGTGGAAGAGCGATCGGGTCGAGGAAGAGACATGGGAAACAGAGGCTTTGATGAGGAAGCAGTATGCTTTCCTATTCGAGTAGAGCTGTGAATTTCGGGGACGAAATTCCTGTTAAGGGGGGGTGAACTTGTGACACCGCACCCGAACGTCCTTGAAAATTCGATTTAAAAATTCAAAAGTGATGTATTGAATTTCCAATTTCAAAACAATGGGAGAAACGATTAATATTTTACGAAGTACATGATTGAATATTGTATTGTTCAAACCCGCATTCTTTTGTAATTTTCATCGTGTAAATTAGGATGAGTACAAAAAGACATCTTTGACAAAGATAAAACAATAGGACCCATCTTCCCATTTTTTGGAAGTATTGGTAGATATTTTGGACCCCAAATTTAATGGGATCAATTGGGAACCACTCCACATGGTATTAGTACCTGCAAAACAAATAAAAATGGGTTAGGAGACTTACCTTGGCCGGCCATTATGGAGAAGAGCTGCACATGACTTGATAAGAATCAAAGTTGGGGCCACCACTCTTATTTTCGCACAAATTGGTGTGCTGTTTGTCTCCTCTCATTATAGGAGCTATCCTCAACCAAATAACGTGTATGAGGTGTCCTTGGATAGCCTTTGAAGTCTATTATCTCAATTGAGTGGTCTTTGTTCGAGGAGAGAAGGCTTATCTTGCAAAAATCGAGCTGGAACGAGCAAAGGTCTGTGAACTCGAGCTGTGAGAGTGCTGAGACTGTTTGGTCGATATCTCGAGTTTTACAAGTCCAATTAAGGCGTGTGAGATACCCACAGAAAGCTCTCAAGACGAGGAATCCGTGAAGGTCTGGTTTGCAGGAATCGGAGTTGTGGAAGGCTTCCAAATCGTCCGAGCAAAACACAACCTCGCAGGAGAGGATTTAATCTTCTAAAGTGAGTTTTAACCCCAAAGCTTTACTTTTCATTCTCCAAATGATATGAACGATTGGTGAGACTATTATACACTAATCCAAGTGTATAATATGTCCCTAAAAAGTTATCTTATTGATGTAAAGGTTAGATACTAACCTAGATGCAAATATTGGAAAACTAGGAATCGAGTTAGCCGGAAAACACCCGTTCTAGGGGCTGTTTTCGTATCAACGATTAAGGGTTGAACTAGCACTTTGAGGAGGCTGTTTAACACTCATATTTGAGCAAGGAATCAGTCCCAAATCCACCTTGACCAAAGATTTGACCATTGGACCAAGAAGGGAAAGTTTAAAGCTCAATTGAGGTGAGGATTGACATCTAATTGCTTACAACTTGTAGGTTAAGCATGAGATTACCTAAATGCTTAAATCATGATTTTTCATGGATTATGATGACTATATATTGATGAAATATTGATATAGTTGCCAAAGAATGAATTTGGAATGATTTGAGAAAGTATGAATAATATGAGATTAAATGAGTATAAATGAACTATTTTGTGAAAATGGGCATTTTGCTCATGTATGAATCATGTGGATACATAAATGAATATTTGTGTATTGAGATTGAATACTTAAGTTGCTGCTACATAATTATAAATATGTAGAGAATTACAAACAATGAGGATAATGGTACGATAACAATAATCTTAATAGTATTGGAATACTAGTTAGTGATTATTGGAACTTGCTGATTAAATTGATCCTAGGGATTGGATTGTATGAAAGGTACTTGAATGTAGTTCAAGTGTATATGATAACTTAGTATGGAACTAAGGTTAAGTTATGGGGAGTCTTTAAGGATGACCCATGGTAGTTTAATGATATGTCAATTCTAGGCATAGGGTTGCTTGAGAATTGGACCTTAATGCATGGTGATGTGATAGAGCCGAGCTCTAGAATGCATGTAAGGTGTAGACTTGGAGTCTATGTATTGTATAGCTAGAGCCGAGCTCTAGGACTTGCGTGGTGATGTGATAGAGCCGAGCTCTAGAACGCAAGGTAGGGAAATTGACCCGAGGTATATGAATTGTATGGTGATGTGGTAGAGCCGAGCTCTAGAATACAATGTCATGTACTAGGGTTGGACTCTAGGAGTTGTCGTGGCTTATAGTCACGGGGTTGGGAATGGTGATTTCCAAATGAAAACGGGCCCACGGGCCGACTACTTGACTTTTATATAAAGTAAGTATATTTTTAAACGGGGTAACTTAGGGTTACAATCATAATGTACTATCACCCTACTTGAGGGTCTTGTGTTTGAAATACTTGTTGTATATCTATTAGATGCCTGCCACACCAGTACTTTATAGCCGTATAGAGTACTGACCCCTTCGGGGGCGTCCCACCACCATTTCAGGTTGAGGCTAGAGCTTGCTTCCTGTGCTCGTTGATCGAGTGATTCCTTGGAGAGAAGACTTGGTTCGTGCTTCCTCCATTCTGTTTTTAAATAATATTAAACTTGCTCATGGATATTTTGCTTTAGAGCCTGCGTGCTCATGTTTGCCCTGTGTGGCCCTTTTGTTTTAAACAATGTTTTCCGCTGCGTATTCAATTGTTTATTATGTATGTTTATGGATGACTTACGTGTGAATGATATTCATGACGCCTTGTATAATATGAATGTGTCGGACTGCGGTTGACTATTCGTATTGTACGGCGGGTTGTTGACGTGTCCGGGAAGGTCCGGGGCGTGACATTGTATGGTAGTCCTAAATACACAGATGTGACAGTATTGGGACATTGTGGGTCCCAATGTTAGAATATATGTTAAAGATATTCTATTCATTATGTATATATTTAGTTACCTTGTTTATAGCCATTTCATTTATTGTATATATTTGTTTCCTTGTTAATCTCTTTGTAAACGTGTATTTAAGCACCATTTTGATAATGAGAAAGCACGGTTGAAATCCTTCATGGTATCAGATTAAGGTTCATTTCTCTGTGACCTTCTCTGTTTTTTTTTTCTTCTCCTTTCTTCCGCTGCACACCTGAAATTTGCCCTCATGGCTAACCCCCAAAAATTTCATTCAGCCCTCACTATTACGAATGTCAAAACTCTCATTCCTATCACGTTGGACGCAGACCACGGCCTATACCACTCTTGGGCCGCCCTCTTCAAAGTCCTCGTTCAGGTTCATGACCTTCATCACCATATCACTCCTCCCAAAGACGAAACAGAGAGAGCTGCCTATGAGGCTACAAAGGCCGCCGACCCTGCTCTCTGGCGGAGATTGGATGCTGTAGTTCTGCAATGGATTTATGGGACTGTTTCCACGGACCTTCTTCATGCTATTCTTCTCAAAGACGACACCGCCTGTGCCGCCTGGACTCGTTTAGAGTCGCTGTTTCAGGACAACAAAGCCTCTCGTGCTGTTCATCTCGTCCAAATTTAGATAGGCGTTATACAAGTTCAATGATATAAAATTCCCCGTGTCGATTATCTCATTAGTCATTCCTATAAATAGGAAAAGTATTGTACAGGCTGTTGCTATACGTGCGTATCATTAGTATTCTAATCTATCAAGGGAACTAAGCTATACAATGAATGTAGACACCTATAAAAGTGCTAACAGAAAGCTATAAGATATAATTTACATAAATAATAATAATAGTAAATGATGGCCGAACTTATCCACTCCAGCTGTGGGTTCGACAATGATAAACGCATGCATGTCAGGCATGATGACGTATTTACTTAACAATACCAATTCTCAGCCAATTTGGTTCATTTCGAGTCAAGGTTGTCAATGAAATACACTTGCATAATTCAGTGAAGACGGATTAATTCAAGATAGTGTCATTTTTGTAAAGGTATACCGTATACGTTGTCGATAGTATACCTTTACAAAATAGGGACTTGCATATCTGATGGGAAAAATACATAATAGGCGATGTTTTTATAGATTTCTAAATTTAGAAAAATGGGGTGTATAATACGTAATAGATTGGGGCATACGTTTATGGATCTACATACGATTGTCATATTGAACCCATTCACAGTATATTTAATTACATAATTACATACTGTCAATAGGTAATCACGAGTTAAGTTTGTGAATAATGATCAACATTAGCCCTGTGCTAATATTATGAATCGATACCGATTGGAGATATATCTTTAACCCATTTAGGGGCCGTTTGGAAAAGATTGATTGTGCTGAAGTGAAAGCGTTTGGTAATATGTTGGCTGAAATGGCTGAATGAATGTAAAATTACCATTAAGGGTATTTGCTTATTTTTGTTAAATATATGGTGTGCACTTTAGTAATAAACTTATTTTTGATTGATTAGTAAACTACATTTGCTTATTCTCATACGTTTATAGCAAGGCCAAGAATGAGTAGCATTTTAATTTCATTATGATTCTCATATGGAATTATTTGGGTCTGGTGGGCTCTGGGTAGAAGGAGACTAGTATTGAACTGGCTGGCATCAGTGCATCACCCTTTTTTAGACTACAGCTTGTGAGTCGGGCATCACCGTGGACTAAATACTACGGAGTATTCCAAAATCTTTAGAATTAACAATTGAAGTACTACTAGTTTCAAGATGAGTTCTAGTATTCCCCCAACTAATTAGCCCTGGCTAGTAAATTAACGGACTCCATCATTGAACACCTGCAACTACTAAAACTATGCATGTTTTGTAGAACCATCACATACTGATACCACCAGAGCGATACCATCACACCTCCGCTCAACAAAACCATAAAATTCATCAGTCCTGGACACAGATTTCGGGTTCCCGAACACAGAACAACAAATCGACAACTTGTCTTGATAGTCCAAATTCGAACACAGAACACAGATTTCCGGTAAAGAAGGGTAAAGGAGTATTTTACCTTTTCAACAGTAATTTAATAGCTTTCAGCGGGAAAAGTTAGGGTATTGCTACTTTTTTGGCTGATCAGCAATATCAGTCCAAACAGCCCAACTGGCTAGTGTTTGGCTCTTTTTTTATATTTTAAGGCTTATTAGCCTATTTTATAGGCTCCAAACGGCCCCTTAATCTTGGATAGCATTATATGAATAGATGGACTACAATTCTATACTAGATATGGACCCAGTGGGTTTTTTATAATACACATAAGAATATTCATAATAATCGGGATTTTGACATAGTTGGGACGAAATTGCCCCAACTATTCAATATTGCGGATAGTAATCAATTTGTCGGTATGGTATCAATATGCGGTACTAAAGAATTGAGTTTCTATCATCTCATAATATAATTCAGTATCTATATTGTCAGGATATTTACGTACGTATGACTGGGTTATGATATTGTATCAATTGGCACACATTAGTGATATGATCTCATTGAATACGATGTCGTAATACGTATTACTATCTTTGTTAGAATATGTGAATAATATTGACCTACTAATGGGCTTATATTGGAGTTTTGATATTCACCAAATGTATTATACCAGGTGAAACCATACTAATAACTAATCTATATATCTATATATATATATATATATATATATATATATATATTAAGTGAGTTAAGTGCTTTTCCCGCTCAATGATCAGGGGCATTTTTGTAAACAACGCTAGGTTTTTTATTCTTCCGATAGACTTTCGCCAATTCGCTTAATAAGTTCTTAAATCTTCGTTACCTCTTCTCTTTTATTTTCTACTCTTCCTTGAACCTGGCTCTATTACAGCTCTCTCAATTTCTCTCTTTCTATTGAACGTGACCCTGAGATTCCTTTCTTCTTACACAAAGAGATGAGATTATTATCTCTTTGGCTCTGTGTTTAGGCTTATAGATTATGCTCTGTGATTTTCACTTGCTCGATCACGATTGTCATATATTTGATTTCTGAGCACATGAACGATTCCATCTACTAACAATCTTGGAGAGTCCATCATCAACGATTTGTTGCATTATTGGTTAGTTTTCTACCTCAAATCTAACTCTTTTTTATTTATGGATTTCACATGCCATATTATAATCTGAATTTTTCCCTTGGATTTCATCTATAACCCTAGATTTAGAGAGTCATCTTTTACTGATTGGTTATGCGGTGGTGTGTGTCAATTCCAATCAAAGAATTCATGTTATATCACTAAGTATAAAAGTTCTAGAAAATTACTTATGATCTATCGATAGCAATAGGTTTGGGGCTTTTATTCACATTGTTGTTCTCGAAGCATGGAATAGAAATGGATTTGGTCAGTTTGTTTCTACTTCACATGGCCAGTGGGATTACATGAATTATGCCAAGAATGAACTTTCGAAAACCCATTGGGATGATTGTCTTTCATTCCAATTTGAGGATTAGGCTGGACAAAAATCTTTAAACTTTTCAACCTCAATGAATTTCTAGGTAAAATCCTTTTACATATTAATACTGTACTATGGTTGGTCAATGATTATCTAGATTTATTTTTTCCTTCATTCCAATTAGAGGATTAGTCTGGACAAAAAAACTTTTAACTTTTCTGCCTCAATGACTTTCTAGGTAAAACCCTTTTACAATTTCAAGCTATTCGAGTTTTTGGATCGAACGATGTAAGAGCTTCCAGATATTGTGAATATGAAAATTACTTTGTCTTTTGGTCATGATCCTAATCTTTTAGAATCATGAATAAATTATATTACCAAGAACACAAGTTATATTTACATATAGTCTCCATATCATATTTTATTTGAAGGAATGTTTCAGCTCTCACCCACCTATTGGACTTTGTTTAATTTCCCTGTATTAGCAACCTTCCTTTTGTTGTGTCTAGCATGATAACATTGCTTAACAGGTTAGCTTCTCCTTATCTTTTTTGTTTGTTTTTTGTTTTATTTTTTTGTAGATTATATTATGGTATACCATCCTAGTTTTTATTTCTCAAACACACATATGACATATACACGACATCGTTGGAAGTTTGAGTGCTACTAGTCCAATTTTTTTTTATCGTGAGTGCTACTAGTCCAATAAAAAAGTCATTTTAATTAACAAATAACAGTCATTTTACGTTACACTAATAAGAAAATCATTTATGTTCTTACAAGTCATTTGACATGTTATCAGCTGATTTTAAACCGCCATTTAACCAAACATTACTTTACAAACTGCTAATATCATCAACTAATTAAAACAGTCAACAGAATCCACTATCAGTAATCAGCCAACACAATCGGCCAACAGCCAACAACCAACAACCATTTGCCAAACACACCCAATATACCGGTTGTCCGGTAACCTTCACACGTGGCAACCCAACGTGGCGAATAATTTTTTCACTTTCCTTCCTTATTTAACCAAACATTATACCCGTCTGCATTCTTTCTAGAAAATTTCTCCCCATTCTATTGCTTTCCTTTTGCATCGTTGCTGCTGGAGGGGTGCATTCTCTTTGACCTTTATTGCCGCCAGTGGCGGGTAGATTTTCCCTCATCCGTCACTGCATCGATCTCACCAGTGGAATCAATTATTTCGTCAATGCAAACATCCGGCGAATGGAACTCGCAGTGGAATCATACTCGCAATTGGACTAGTTGATATATATCTATGATACACAATATAGTAAGCCCTAACTTAATGCGATGGTATTAAGTTTCAGTACCAGGTGATATGCCCACATATCATTGTATACTCATTTTGTCACTACGGGGATCGCACTCTGGGTGAATATTGGGTTCACCCTGTACAACGCAATTGGCTTGGTAACGTATTACTCGAGATTGTATGGCCAACAATATGTACAACTTGTATGGGTAAGTAAATTTTGAGAACATATGAAAAATAACGATGAGTAAGTTGTCTGCAATCATTAGTGAAGACTTAGTGTATTACCTTATCTTTAAAAATCTTTAAAAAGTTATAATAGCCAATGAGGGTTAGGGTACTTTGGGTATATAAAATGTGTTAGTGTAATTATAAGCTAATGTATGCTA